AGAGAGAGAGAGAGAGAGAGAGAGAGAGAGAGAGAGAGAACCTGGAAAGATGCAGACAGTAAATAAAAACAACAAATGTAAATACATTCATTGGCAAAAAGATAATCTTCATCATACAATATATTTCATTTATTGATCGTTTTTATGATATATTATGTTCACATTTTAAAAACGTTCCTCCTTTATTCTTGATACACGATAGTGACTTGTTTATAGGTGTACTTTCACAACATAAATGCATGTGCTCATGTTCACTAACATCAGCAAAAACAAACCTGACACAACATCTATCTAGACTAGCAAATAAAACACAGTGACATTAAAAAGCTCTTCTCCTCCACAAAGGTGGCCATCTTTAACAATTTCGACTGCGTTATTTCATCGGTAACTGTACCATACATTTAAAAAGGTTATAACCTCTTAGCGTAATATAATAAGTGTTCTGTACAGCTATAGTGTCAGAAAGGCAACAAAAAAGTGGGCATCTTAATCAGAGATGTGAACCAGCATCTGCAGTATCTTGGATAGGTTTTACACTGTTGTATAGAGAAGAAGGGAGTTAATAAATAAATATATATATATATATGATACAAACTTAAATCTGAAGATTTTCATTATCTTCGCCACGATTTTTGATGATGCTGGTTTTCAAAATACGAAATACACGTACATGTGTTCCCATGTCTGAGAGAATAACATGATTCAGTGTCACCACAGAATTTTTTTTACCGTGTTGAGCAACTTATTTTTGGCAAAAGGAATTGGAAGTTTCAGTAACTCCATTATTATTTTGACAGACCACAAAACAAATGGTTGAACTATCCTTTATTTAGTCTTTTCCTGTTATAGACACAAAACTTTTGAATAGATGAGCACTTTAAATTGAACAAGGCGACTGCCCTATAAAAGCCCCGACAGACTGACAGACGGACAGACAGACAGACAGACAAATAGACAGATAAACAGACAAACAGATAGACAAACAGACATAGAAAAAAAAAGATGGACAGAAAGATAGATGGCAATAAAAAAACAGAAAGAGAGGAAGAAAGAGAGAAAAATAGACAGACAGAGAAACAGAAAACAATAAATCTCAATATTATTCCCCCTCCTTCTCACTCTCAGCTACTCCTCAAATGAATGTTCAATTTTAAATTAAACAAATTTCAAAATTCAAAACACTGTGCCTACTGAATCAAAGCTATGTGGCTGCCTACACATACTCTCATTTTTCCTCTCTGTCTCTCTTAGTTTTAGTAGAGGTTTTACTGCGCTCGCAACTGCATAAGGTCATATGAACGCCAAGGGGTGGATGTCAAGAGAGAAGTCTTTACAGGGAATCGGGCTTACTCTGCTCACCTCTCTAGCTTTAACAGCACAAAGTTTGTTTTGACTTTCGAGGCACCCCTGAAAGAATGGGTCACAAGAGTGTGACAAACATACAAAAGAAGTAGAGGAAAATGACGATAGTAAGGATTAGGAAAGAAAAAGCAGCAGTTCACTATTGTAGTTCAGGCACAGTTATGAGCATGACATAGTTGAATCAGCTCATTTACAATTCTACTGCGCATAAGAAAGAGAAATGTCCCCCCTTTGGGAATGGCCTACAGACACTTCAGTCAGTGGCACTGCCCCCTGGGGGGGGGGGGGGTGTCAGTCTCTCTGCATTCCCTACAAGACAGAGACCTTACACAATCACAGCAGCATGTATATGACTAGGAATACCTACTACTACTATAATTCTTAACAGCTTGGTGAGTAGCATTCACCTTACTTATATCTTGAACTGAGTACCCAGAGGTGCTGCAAGAATAAGTACTGAACCCCACACAAGGTATTTCCAACCAAATGGTTCTGACACACAAGGTTAAAAAGGATCTGGCAAAGAAGGTATTATCAAAAGGAGATGAGTTTTTGAGTAAACAGAAGTACATGGACACATCATGATCATTTAGTGCTAGGAAAAAATAAGACGGACAGACAGACAGAAACAACAGAGGAAAGACAGTAAAGAACCAGGACCTACCAGTGGCACTCTCCAACCATCCGCATCAGAATCCCACACAGAAGGTATTTTCAAACAGATGCAATACAGAAGGTATTTTTTAAACAATCTGACACTGAAGGCATCTTCAAAAGATTATGATTATGACATCCAAAATTTGGTATTTCGGATACTTGAGAGGATGGGGGCCGAATTAAGGGAGGAATGAAAAAAGAGAAAGACAAAGAGACAGCAGGTGTTCCCAGGTTAGTGAAATTAAATGTTGGTACGTCAATTTTTCAAGTGACCAGCCAAATTGAGCCGGATCAGATCACTCAAAACCGCGTGATTTCTACATATATATATCTAGATTTCGCAGCCTTAGAATTACAGAGTTCTATCTGCTCAGTACCCAGTTTTGAGAAATTTGACGTAAAAATTTTTCAGTGTCACAACATTTTAAGCTTTTTTTAACACTTTGCGGTCACTTGGCCCGAGAAGTCTGATGCAGTCGCTCTCCTGGCTGGGTGACCAGATGGGGTATTTTGTACAGCTGGCTGTGTGACTGCAAAGTGTTAATGCAGCTTGTTGAATATCTCGATAATGACTCTGAATAATCTTACAATTTTGATAGAGCAGAAAGAACATAATTTTGTTTCTGACCTCACGGTCTTAGTAACTCAAAACAGCCAAAAACGTCAGATAGAATAAGAACTTGTTATTCTAAGGTAGCAATTTGTCTGACTGTAGCATGACAACTTATCAAGGAGACAGTGTTCAGGCAAGACTCACTTATAACAGGAGTATAAGAGAAAAAAATCTCCTGGTTCTAACAAAAAACTGTAAAAGTGGGGTCCAGAAGAAGATAAAACATTTGCTTAACTGACAAAACAGTTCAACTCATTGCTGACAGCCTACGAGAATATTCCGACTCTTTAATATTCGTATCCAGGCAGCCATCTCACCTGACTAAAAAAAAATTCTAATCCCTCCATGTCTCTCTAAAACTTGCTCCAGTCCATCATTTCCAAGTTAAGAAAACAAAAATTATTTAGAGTTAGGCTACTGTTCAGGCACTTCCGTATGCTTATTGTCCCCTCAGTTTGGAGGGAAAGTTATTGCAGGTTTAGGGTAAGTACCTAAATTTGTGGGTGTGGCTGGAGGCAGCCCATATGGGTGTGTTTGCTCAGGGAGGCAACTCCGGTGGAAATGGGTTAAATAATGGGTATGAGCAGCATCATGATGAAATCCAGTACTCGTCAAATTTAACTACATCAAAGAAATCAACAGTTCTGCGTCCATTAGGCAATTTTTATTGATTTTGGGGTGGGTTTTTTTTTCTTCTGCTAAACACCTTTTATGTCCATTTAAAAACATATGGGTTGACTTAACTATAAAACATTGATCAAAAGGCACCAAAAAAATGTAAATTTGCAGTTTCTAAGCACACTCAAGCTTTGGAAGTCACCAAACTTTGGTGGCAATTTTCTTTTTAATTTCACCTCTTACACCTGGTAACCCCAATCTCCTTCAATATCAAATATGTGTGTGTGCCTAAAGAAAGTTACCAAAAGTCGTCACAGACCATATAATTTTGAGCTACAAGCTAATAATGACAAAAAAACATTTTTTTGACCAAAATGAGTTTCCATAAAAAAATGATAGTTCCACCATTTTTTAACAATGTGTCAAAAATTTTCATTAATTTGACTTCTAAATTTTATTTTGAATTATTTTGAGGGTGGTATATGTTTTTAAAAAGATAATGAAAACTGCTTTAAGAAGGCGTAAAATCTGCCATGAATAAATACATTAGAAACAATTGAATCATTTTTTTTCAAGTTTGTATGTGTTCCAAATTTAAAAGCTAACTTTCTCAAAATTAGATCTTTATACCCCACCTCGCATAATGTGCAATATCTCAAAAACTACTTGAGATATCTCAAAAATTCAAAAACCACTGTGTTCAGCATTGAATGTCCTATTAGGTACAACCCTTAACTCAAAATGGTTAAAATCCGATTTTTGGTACCTTGCTTTAGGCGCACACACATATCTTGACTTCTTTTCAAGATAAATTGATTTTTTTTCCATCAAAAGCAAGGAAATTGAAAAGGATTTGAGATTATACCAATAACTCCATAATATGTCCAAAAATTAGACGAGCACCTGATTCCACCACGTCGTGACACACATATCTTTTGAAAGAACACAACCTGGGGATTTTTGTTCTACTTTCAAGTATGATAAAAACTGCTGACTTTGACCTTTACAACGCAGAGATATTGTAGACCTACGGCTTTTTCTTATTTTACCAGTATAATGTACATTTGACTAAAAAAAAAACAACAACTGACTTATTTTGCAAACAAGCAATAAGTGAAGAGTGACACTAAAGATAAATCAGTCTGGATTCTCTCTCTATCTTTTATCAATGGTAAATTAGTAGGCCCCAAGACGGATTAAGACTTGGGTAGGCCTACTTGACTGTTCTATTAAAAGTGGAAAACACAAGGATGTACCCAAATAAAGCAAACTCCATTTCACAAACAAGCTAATCTGTCTTTGAATTTTGAGAAACTTGAACTGTCACCTCTCAACCGTTTGTATTTTTTGTAAAGATAAAAGATAGCTAACCTCAATATAATATTATGGCATTATAATATATTGGCGTAAAAAAATGTTTTAATGACATAAGACTTTGTGCAAACATGAAGACATAGCTATTTACACACTTTATACACACAAGCTTGATGAAAGCCATTGGAAGAATTGACTTCTTCACTGCTATCTGTTGCTTCTATCAGTCTGCTTTGCTTTTTCCCAGCACTAACTCACTATCAACTAATGCTTCTTTCTTGACCCCCAACAAACGAGTATGTTTTCGAAGGTTACACAATAACATTTTAAGTCTCATTTAAATACATTTTATACAATTCTAACAGTCAATACAATTAGATAAGTAATGGTGAAATGTATCACACTACAGTGGAAACCATGGCCCGGTAATAACAGGGATCCGGTAATAACCGAGATTTTTTAAATCCCCATTTTTTCCTACTCGTTGTCCCTGTTCTATCAAAAGTCAAAGGTAATAACAGGGCCTCATCGGCGCCCAGTCGGTTATAGCAGGGACAAAGGCTAATTAACAAAGTGTAAAAAGTGAAAAAAAAAAACAGAGAGAGAGAGAGAGAGAGAGAGAGAGAGAGAGAGAGAGAGAGAGAGAGAGAGAGAGAGAAACGCAGTGATGGAGCAAGCCAACGCAAGCCACGCCACTGCAAGCACACGCAGCGGGAGAAGCGAGAGAGGGCAGCGGTGTGCTGCAGACTTCGATCCAGCCCTACAAGCACGCGTAATGTGCCAGGTTCGTGGGTACTTGTGGAAAGGGAAACTACCCGTGAATAAATACAGCTGGATTAGTCCCCAAGTGCTTACTTCCCTTGCATTTCTGATTTAACAGGAATCTGATAGAACAGGACTTTTTCTCTGGTCCCACCATCCCTGTTATATTAGGTTTCCACTGTATGTTAACTGTAACAGTATCACATTAAATGCAGATGAACAAAACTAATTGGCCAGACAAATAAAAATAATGGATGATAAAAGGAGTCCATCACTTTCCTTTCCATAATTTAAAATAAAACAAGACAAATTAAGAACAGGTTAAAAAAAAACCAATACATATTTTTAAACTTAACTTAAGTAATAAAAAAAGTGTTATGAAAAGTTATAAAAATCTGAAAAATTGTGATGTTTCATCCTGTTGTTCACAAACTCCAAAACAATTACAGAGATCAAAATCACTTGGCAACACTATCCTAAAACTAATGACAAAAACATGATACACTACACTTTTTCACTCATTTTAACTTCAAAAACAAAAATTATCAACACAATCCGAGGCTTACAATGAGTAAGTACATTTTTGGTCCAACAAGAACAAAATTTCCTCAAAGCATTGCAAAAACTGACTGTCGTTACAGCAAACTTTCACAAAAGGGTTAAGAGTTATTGAACAAAGCTAATGTTTGCAGACTTTCTCATCCCTAAAATGAAGGTGAAGTACCTTGACTCTATTGGAGTCCATCCAGAAATCTGGATGCGCTTCTGAAAAAGAAAGTTAGACGAAAATCAATGGATAATTTGTATGGACTGATGATACTATGATAATATCATACAGAAGAACAGCAATGCCAAAGGACAGACAGAAGGGTAAAAACACAAGAAAGACTGAGGGCCATTTCGTGTCAACCATACCAAGATATAACTTAACACTTTGCAGTCACACAGCCAGCACTACAAAATACCCCGTCTGGTCACCCACCCAGGAGAGTGACTTTAACGGACGTTTCAGGCCTGGCGCAAAAATGTGCCAAATCACCAGAACGCATAATTTTCACCGCCGCATTATACAGCAAAGTGTTAAGTCATGACAAAAAAATGAGGAAACGTGGTGAAATCAGATGCTCACCAAAACAATTAAATCGAACAAACCCTAGTTTTTTTCCGCCAGAATTTTTATCGAATTTTGGCTCAACACTTTTTATGTCCATTTAATAACACATTTCTGTGTGAATTTTTATAGAAAAACGTTGATGAAAGGCACAAAAAGAACAAGCTTAGGAAGTCACCAAACTTTGGCAGTCATTTTCTCGCTAATTTTACCTCTGACACTAGGCGACCCCCCACCTCTTGCATTCACAAATATTTCAATTTCAAGATAGATGCATATTTTTTATTTCATTGAAAGCAAGACAAATGAACAAGCTTTAAGATGATACCGTACCAATAACTCCACATGCCCAAATATTGACATGCACCGGATTCCCCCATGTCGTGACACAAATGATAATTATTATAACAATGAACAATGAATAATGACCATGAGAAGGGAAAAAATAATGTCAACAATGAGGTCAGAGGTTTCTGACGAGAATTTTAATGCCATTGGACCACGATGTTGATGATGATGATGATGATGATGATGATGATGATGATGATGATGATAACCAAGTACAAAATATATGAACAACATAAAGGCAAACAACTGGGTATCTTATGGTATACTAAGGAGCCCATTTTAGAATTACAGAGGGCTACATAGAGAGTATCAGATAAACTAATTCCTACGCAAACACCTGCCAAATAATGAATACATTTATTGCATTCATTAACATTGAAAAGTAACATTAGTCCACATAAATATATTAATCCTATTTCTTTTGTAAGAAAACATTCATGACAAACTCACTAATGTTATACAATCATTTGACTGTGATCTTTTCTAGGACCCTTCAAATATCCTTAGACTTCTGCAAAATCATCCAACATACCTGTTCACGATTTTCATTTTATATATATATATACAGAACAACAACGGCACAAATGATTTTTCAAATAGGTATTTTTGAAACATGTTCATAAAATTCCAGAGACTTATTGTAAAAAATTAATTGAAAAAATATAAGGGAGTAAAACAAACGAAGGGAGCACCAGCATTCATTAGCTTAGCAGGTTTCCCACAGATGAAAGACATAGAGAAACAAAAAACATCACGGCTACCAACATCCGTAGTTCAATTGCTACTGTCACCTTGGCATCAATCCGAGGGACCATGCAGTTTAAACTAACCATTTTGTCATCTGAGACAGAAGGTTGTTTCTGAGGTTTTTACAAGTGCAAAAAACTCAGCAAATAAAAACTTGTTTTCTTCTCCACTGCCTTAGAAAATATCCTGCAATTAAAGCCAACAGAAATGACGAAAATACATCTGCAATTACACCATCTATCTTAGTAGGTTTAATACACTACCAAAACTAGACATTCCCTTGTTAAACTGAAAGAGTTCGCAGCTCAGTACGACCCCACATAGCATCCTTAGAAAAGACACTTTACACAAACTGTCCCGTTTGGCTCAGTCCTATAGAGGAGGGATGTTAAATCCAGAGATCCTGCCTCTGAAATAACTTAATAGTGTTGTAAAGGGCGCTAAAATAATACAATTAAATCAAACTATTAATTTTTTTAAATGGTGACAGTCGAATTGAAGCAGCATCTCCCTTTCATCTTATACAGAGATAATCAATACAAGGCAAGGTATCTCAATTGATATATATCGATCATCAAACACACAGCAGAATTTCTAGATCCTGCAAAATTTACAGTGGACTTTGCTTAAAATTAATTCTGACAAATAGAATCTAACACAAGAAGACACCCTTTGTATCCCCTGACCACACTGGAAAGAAAGTGGGAAACAGACAAGATGAACTTCACGTTGAACTTCACTTTGTTTTAGTGAGAGTTTTACAGCACTTGCAAAACAATAAGTTCAGATGGGTGCAGAAGATTAAAGGTGTTACAAGAGAAACAAACACCAAAAAAAGATGAGATAAGAATGATAGATGATATTCGGTGGGAAAGAAGAAGCAAACCACACCACAGCACTAGCCAACCACCCACATGTTGGAACTTCATGGGTTTTTTACCTTGATATCTTGAGTGAAGTTAAAGGTCGGCCTATTCAAACATTCCTACATCTATTTCAAGACATTAAGACAGCGGTCCACAGCAAAGTTTTTATCCAACCAATGTACAACTAGGGCTCCAAAAGGCAACAAGTTCCCTACAGAAGAAGCTGTACAAAGTCACAAGTCAAAGGCATGTCATTAACAGTATATTGTTTCAACAATCAACAAACTCCACAGGAAATACTTCACAGCAGAATCATCACTTTTGGGTTATCGAGCATTTTGTTCTTGATAGGGGACATACTCCCATGACTTGTCGTCCTCCCCTTGGTCTTGGTCTTGCAAAGAGCTGAACCTGAACAAAAATACATCAAATATATAATAAAAATAAAAATAATAATAATAATAATAATAATAATAATGTTTGGCATTTATATAGCCCTCTTTCCCTTACGAGTATATGCTCTGAGCGTTTTTTTACATTGATAACATGATCACTGAGCATAATAATAATACTTGATTCACACAAAAAATAACACCACAATGTTTCCCAAAGTCTTTTCAGGGCCATGCAACACACACACACGCAAAAAGAGACCATACGAGATGTTTTACAATAGCTCCAAATAAGCATAGCTTTTCTACAAGCATTCTTCTTTCCTCTTCGACCACTTTGATGATGTAATTATGAGATGGCAACCGCATTTACAACAAACGAGTTTCTTTGTCAGTTCATGCACTGATTTTAAACTTCCAACAAACTCTTTTGTTTGTTTGAGTAAAGAAAAGCACATCGACACAATGATGATCATTTAGTACTGGGAAAAAGTAAGCCAGACTCAGAAACAACAGAAGGAAAGTAAAGAAGTAGGACCTACCAGTGGTGCCCTCCAAGCACCTGCCCAACTACCTTGCTTTTCAAACTTTGCTCTGGTCCAACAAATACAGTTTTCATAAGCAATTATCATCTGTGTTCCATGCAATCAGTGTACATTGAAATCAAAAACTTGCATTACTATGGATTTTCTTAGACGAGATTTTACAATAGAGTAGCGGATACTTTAGAGATGATAGCTCTGAATTTAACCCAACCAGCCTGTGACATCGATATATCGGTGTGCGAGTAATTAACCCCTGCCCTGAAGCATCGATATATCAGTGTATGCTAGTCTACCATAGAACAGTGGTCCGTACAAGGGTAAAAAGGGGATAAATGACATCAAAAGGATTTGTAGCTTCGTGGTAACTATTGTAAAGGTCAAGGCAGCTCAAGGAAGAGGGAATTGGTTTGAATAAAGAAGGCACACAGAGTTCATAGAGTGATGGCATTTTTTGCTCAGGAAGCCAGGGGACCGGTTATTTTGGACTCAGGAGGACAGGGTTCATTTGGTTTAGTTCACCTCTGGCCACATAGCATAGAAGGCCTTTTTAAAAAGTTTCAACAAAAAGGGACTCCAAATCTAGATGAAATCCATGTCTCCCACAACCAAGGACTGTGTCTTTATCGACTGAACGAAATGGGATATCCAAACCAAAAGAATGAATATGAAAAAAATTGAAAACAGTAAACTGACCTTTCCATGAGGGAAGTGTTTTCATCCAGCAGAGCGCGAACCTCCTCCAACGACGATCTGGTCAACTGCAAACTGATCAAAAGCAAAACAAAAAAATTAATTTGACTTAAACTGGCGGTGTTCTTTACACCTCCCTCAGCACCATTTAGATCATCTAGAAGGCGCCCTTCGACCCTGCCTAGCAGGGCTAACCCAGAATGAGAGGGACACAAAGACCAAACAGAAAGACCTAGGCACTCAATAAAAGTTCTCCCAACAAGGATATAGAACTTGAGTCATCAGCGTGCAGCGGTGAAGTGCCTACTACTACACCACAGAGTTGGACACCATTCGGGAGGAAAAAACAAGGAAAATAAAGCTTGAGAAAAGCAGAACAGCTCGATTCTGACAGTGCCATGTGGAGGCATCAGGTGTTTTCCCTGTGTGCTGATGTTGATATTGATGCAGTAGGAAAGCAAGTCGCTAACATTACCATAATTGTATAAAAGCAAGATTAGATTTTTGAAGAAGTCAGTGCCATGGAAAAGAGGAAAAAATGTCATCCTTATGTAAATTGATGGCGTACAGACAAGAAAACCTGCAAAAACCACTCACTTGGTCCCCAAAAGTGGACATTTTTAAATATGGGGTTATGTTTTTAACCTAATCACTCATATACAGATAGGCCCTTAACCCATCATTCAAGCCTTCAATTTCCACAACAATAATTTAAAAAATGAATGTCACTCAAAAATTCAACGTGAGCCTTTGTAGTACATTATCAATGCTAAGATAAAGTTTTACTGTTCTATCTCCATTTGAAAAAAAAAAAAGCTGTCTTTCTTACCTCCATTTCCTGTGGTAAAAAAAAAATATAAATAAAATAATACTACTAATAAAATAAATCGGGCTAAACTGAAACCAGATCTTAACAGAAATCAGAAAGTAGTTAAGATTTTTAAAAATGAATAAAAATTGGGGACCATATAGGAGTGTAAAGTTAAATATTAAAAACATGGATAAAGGAATTTGGAACAGAAACTGTGTTCATGAACCCCAATTTTCCAGCTCCAAGTCCAACAACCGCCCCACTGACCCATACAGTTTTTTCCAGCAGCATGGAGGAAGGAAAGAAAAACACCAACCCGTCCAGGACGCCGTCCAGTCTCTCCTGCCTAGTGCCCAGAGAACTGGCTGTCCCGTTATCGCCGTGATTGCTGACCTCCCCGTTAGTCACAGGTTCCGTCTGTCCCAGAGCAGAGAGACAGCTTTCCGTCTGAGCAGCACACTGTTTTCCCGACTGAAATTGAGAGAGGAAAAAAAAGTTGCTTATCATAGTTTTTTCAGATCAAATATACACATTAGAAATACAAATGCCACATAGCAAGTTCAAATGCCACATAGAAAGTTTCAAACCATCACAGATAGTACATAACAAGATGGTCCACTCAGCCAAAAAAGAGTCCGCCGGAAGTCCGCTCTTTGTTTCAGATGGCGCTGCGGTCTGTTTTGAAGCTCTCTTTCGTTTCTCCAGAAGAATAGGAATAGCAACTCCTTGCATGCGCAGATCGACTGCTGTTCATCAGCAGTTCGGGTTCGTTCAGTGCACAGTTTTAGTTTTTTAAAATTTTGATAACCTCTGGCCTTTCATTCTAAAGTCAAATTAAACGAATAAAACAGTCGCCCCTTCCTCCGGAAGAGGTCTCTTGTCAGCGTAACCATTTTAAAAAAGCCTTCTTCTGAAATTTGAATTCTGAAATTTATTCAAAAACTTGTTAGTTTCACTTTGATTTTTTTAACACAAGTAGGGTAACTGTTCGCAAAAGGTGCGCATTTGCGAAGAGGGCGCCACCAAATTTTGAGGACACTTTTCTAATTGGCTCAAAGAGAGGAGTGGCCCCTCTTGTTATGTAGACTCTTTGACGCAACATAAAAAGTTAAAACGTACAATAGGAAATTTTAGGGCACAATTGTGCGTAACAAATTCAAATATACAAATAGCAAATCCAAATGTAACACAATAGCAAGTTCAAATGCCACATAGCAAAAGCAAATATCGTCCACAAAGATTATTCAGCGTGAAAAGCATTTTAATGTACTCAAACTGAGTTGACGACAACCATAAGCGGAAAGAAATTGAGATAGGACTGAAGCAACTAGACATCAATATGCAGCATGGCTGATGCAGAACATTCAGTTGACGAATTGAAACCGATGAAGAGCACGGAGTGGTCAATGCTTTGTTCGAGTAATGCAGGACCGAAGGGGACCGAACCGCACGATGCCATAGGAGCCTAATTTGCTGTCAGTGATGACGGTGGCCTGGTCTTTCAAGACTTTCAAGTAGGGGGAATGGCAGCTTTTGTTTTAACCCATCCCACAAAGAAACTGGTCCAACAATCCCCACAACGAAGTATGCTTTGTATGTAACAATGCTCGTGCACAAAGGCAGGCTTTAAAGGGCAACTTATCAATAGATTGGGGAAGAAATATCTACCCCCCTACACATCTTTTCTTAACATCTACGAGAATGCCTGTGAATTTGAAAATACGATTTGAAACCATGGCTCGGTGAAGCAAAAGACCAAATGCTCACTCAGCTGACTCATCAACAAAGGATGGTTACACTTGCCCAGATGATGGAACAAAATACCCAAGTTGTGACTATAGTGAAAGGCTGATGTTAGGGGACCGTATGCCCCAATAGCGCTTGGCGCTAGGGGACCGTACGCTCCCATAGTGTTTGGCGCTAGGGGACCGTACGTCCTACCTGCGCTAAGGCGTGGTGTTACGGGACCGTACGCAGATATGCATGCATCTGGACAATACTGGAGGAAAACGGTCACTTTAACGAAGCTCCTGACGTAAGGAGTTATTACTAGGACTAGGAAAATGTTTAAAATATCTGAATACGATTGTCAGGTATCCAGTGGCCGTGGGTGAACCAAATTTTGAAATTTGCTCACGTCTGCACCCAAGTTGTTGTTATGTGTCAATAAAAGAAATCAAAGAGAGGGAGGGAGAGAAAGAGAGAGAGAAAGAGAGAGAGAGAGAAAGAGAGAGAGAGTGAGAGAGAGAGAGAGAGAAAGAGAGAGGGAAAGAGAGAGAGAGAGAGAGAGAGGGAAAGAGAGAGAGAGAAAGAGAGAGAGAAAAGAGAGAGAGTGTGTGAGTGTGTGTGTGAGTGTGTGTGTGTGTGTGTGTGTGTGTGTGTGTGTGTGTGTGTGTGTGTGTGTATGTGTGTGTGTGAAAAACAGACAGAAAGGAAGAGAGAAAGAAAGAAAGAAAGAAAGAAAGAAAGAAAGAAAGAAAGAAAGAAAGAAAGTAAGAAAGAGTGGGAGAGAGAGAGGGAGAAAAAGTGTGAGTATGTGTGTGTGTGTATGAGTTGTGTGTGTGTGTGTGTGTGTGTGTGTTAGAGAGAGAGAGAGAGAGAGAGAGAGAGAGAGAGAGAGAGAGAGAGAGAGAGAGAGAGAGGGAGGGAGGGAGAGAGAGAGAGAGAGGGAGAGAGAGAGATGAGGGAGGGGGGGTGTTCGTGAGAGAAAGAAAGAGATGAACAAATTTACACAAAGGGAATGGTTGTGACAAAAATGAGTAGGATAATAGTGTGTGTGCGCAGGTGCATTCTGCGGGCAGACGTGAGTACATTTTTAAGCTTTGCGACCTAAAATTTAATGACGCTAGTAAATGCCGCAAATTTACTCACTTTTGCATGAGAGAACACGCGTGAGCACGCACTAAGTCTTGATAGCGCGCAAGACGGAAGATCAACTCATATTCAGTGACAATAACAATAACATGAAAAGAAATGAAAAAAGAAGACAGCTTGGAAAAGGTAGATGAAAAGCGAAGCAAACTATTGTAGAGACTTGACAGAACGTCGGGTTGTGAACCAAGCACAGACGAAATAAAGTTTATTTGCAAGCGCATCACATAAGTACATATAATATTATACGCCTGTCCACATTAATAATATAACAACATTAGTATAACTGGACTACTTTTGCGCGCAGGTGTCGTGTAACTATAGTGCGGTCAAAAATTCGTGGCTCAACTTTTCCTCAAATATCTCTTTAACCGGAGAATCAATGTCACCCATACTTTGCACAGCAGTTTGTATAAAAAAAAGGTCTTAACTGAATTATATTTTTTCACAACAATTGAGGCTCGATCAAAAAAAATGTTCTTCATAAATTTATATAAAATACTAGGCCTATAAATCTCCATCATGCGAAAAATGTGATTGTTCATAGCACTTCTCGCTTCTCTCACACATTTTGCATACGCATAATATGGCCTACATCTTAGCTCGCCAATTACACTTTTTCACATTCTTTTTACACTAAAGGTTTCCTAAACATACGTTCAATAAGCATGCATGCTATTGCGATTGGAAAAAAATGACAGACTTGCTTTTAAAAGCAATATTGCCTGAGCTGTACTTACTAAGGAATTTTCTAGATTACGGTGTGCAGGAGTTTGAAAAAATATCCCCCTGTTAAGACAAATTGATATAAGTCACTGTGCGAAAGTTGGAGAATCTATATTCGATAGGTAAGGAGATATTTCACAATAAGTTGCGCCGTGCATTTTTGAGAGCACTATAGGCGTAAGTTGGTATACTATTAATTTAATTTGCACTCTTAACTCATATTCCACCCAAGGCGTTACATGATTAATGATCTGTTCTCAATCTAATAGCTTTACTCTCTCTCTCTCTCTCTCTCTCTCTCTCTCTCTCCCTCTCCCTCTCCCTCTCTCTCTCTCTCTCTCTCTCTCTCTCTCTCTCTCTCTCTCTCTCTCCCTCGCTTTGATTTCTTTTATTGACACATAACAACAACGTGGGTGCCGACGTGAGCAAATTTCAAATTCTGGTTCACCCATGGCCACTGGATACCTCACAATCATATTCAGATATTTTAAACATTCTCTGGTAATAACTCCTTACGTCAGGAACTTCGTTAAACTGGCCGTTTTCCTCCAGTATTTTTGGATGCATGCACGTATCTGCGCACGGTCCCGTAACACCAAGCCTCAGCGCAAAGGACGTACGGTCCCCTAGCGCCAAACACTATGGGGGCGTACGGTCCCCTAGCGCCAAGCGCTATTGGGGCGTACGGTCCCCTAACAATAGCCATAGTGAAAATGGCAGCAGTCTTCAGATCAATGCAAGCCTATAAGCCATAGTAGTATTGTAGTGCAACAATAAGTAAATAAAAGTAGACTTGGGCTTTAGATTTCACTCAGTTCTATAATATACCAGTAGTATGTTGATTTGTATCATAACCATTAATTTCTGTTAAACATGTGAGTTTATTTTCGGTTTTTAACACAATTTAACTATTACTTTCGTTTCAGATGATTTCTTCCTTGTGGCATTACATGGCTTACGTCTAACTTTTTCGTGGCCAAAAAGAAAAACAAAACCCTTTTAGTTCTTACCTTGATATACTTTTTATACTTTTAGCCTCCTCTTTAGTTTTAGTAAGAGTTTTACGGCACTTGCAACACAATAAGGTCATGTATAAGCGCCGAAGTTTAGAGGTGTTACAAGAGAGTAACAGACACAAAAAAGAAGGAAGAGAGATCAGGATGATAGATGTTAGATAGGAAAGAAGGAGCAAACCACACTAGAGCACCCACCAACCGCCCAGTTAACCTCCTTTTACTGTACACGGCGCACCGGCAATGGAATTTTAGTTGCCGCGGGGGGTTCCCCGCCGGGCGCCTTATCACGTCGGGGTCACGGGGTCAGCTCCCTGTCGCCGCTCTGTCTGGGCCGACTTAATTTTTCGTACTTTTCAACGTACAATTTAAGTTGTATCCTAGTATTTATGGTAATTCTCATTTAGTGCATTCAAAGCACGCATTTCTGCTCTTGAGACTCAAAAAAGAACGGACGTTGTAACTTGTCTGGTCATTTCGTTAGACGCGCTGGAGTCGGCAATGCTAAATTGTAATTGTTTTTGGACTGATGTGAATGAAAAAAATCTATATAAAAAAAGGCATCGTCAAAATCTGTCGAACTTTTGGAACATGAACGACATAACATTGGTACTCAGAAAAGATGGTATCTGCGCATATAATAGAAGGCTGTAATTTTACAATTTTATCCATCGGGCACACAATTCGCTATGAAGTAATTCCTCCAAATAAAACTTTATGTGTCTAAAAGTTACCATGAAGTTTCTCTATGAAAAGTACATATCGATTTTAGAGCTAGAATACATCTTCAACGTAGATCTAATACACGAACAGTATCTGTTACACTCCAGAAATTCCTTACATTTCTTAAAACGCTAAGTCTAGGTTTTGTAAGTTGACTGAATAATAGGGATGACTTCTCGTAATTGGGTTATAAGAATAATTTCTAGCTTTCCAGGGACACTGAATCAGCACCAGACTTTTCCAGCTTTTTTTTTGTTTCTATGACAATTTGCAAAAACTGACAATGTGACTGATTTCTTTACATTCATAATTGTGTCCGCGCATATTTCCTACACAAAAACTAAGAATGAATGTTTTAGCTGTCATTATTTTTATTCCATACAAGAGGTTTATCTCTACCCATGTATTTACACGGTTTTGTGGTTTTTTAAATCGCTTATATTATATCTTTTTAGTTGTATGCAGGCTGCCACAGACACAGCATGATTCATGAACAAACGCAGAGTAACTTTCTCTTGTTTAATAGTAAAATAAGAGCTAACGCTGATCGTCTTTAGTTAAAAAATGCAAATGTGCATCCTTCTTCTCTTATAACTTGACTTTTACTACTCGTGCAGATTTAAGATTTCTCATGGTAAAAGACATGATATTCGTAGTCAATTTAACACAGATTTTGGAGAGATCTGTTGAGCCTTTTTTAAATTAACAATCATTTATTCATAAGTTTGTAACTAAAATAGGACAAATTGGGTACTCTACAAACACTTGTCTAGAACAAAAACTAAGGCACAGAAACTAACCATTTTAACGCAGAATAAATCCCAAGATAGTGAGCTTTTAGTATATCCGCATAATGGTTTGCTATGTGAGATGGGGAAGAAGTTTTATCGTTTTAAACATAGTCAAAAATGCAAACTTCCTGACCGACACCGGCAAAGTCGCTTCAGGGCTCATTAACCCTGTGACCCCGAGCCGGGGAGCTCCGGCGGGCTGCTGAGTCACGCAAACTAAAAGTAACAGTATCAGGCGAAAAGTGATGCCGTGTCTAGTTCAAATATATTTACATTTGAATTTGCTATGCATTACTTTTGAGAATTCTATGTTTACATTTGAACTTGCTATTGTTGTATTAGGACTTTTTATGATGTCATTTGTGTATTTGGATTTGCTAGGTGTAATTTGGTCGTTCTATGCAGTCTTTGAATTTGTTAAGAGTATATTTGAACTGAAAAAAACTATAATTACAGCAAAGAAAACAACAATAATAATGATAATATGTCACGGCAGTACATTTTAAAGTAAAGAAAGATCATTTTATGAGTTGAAGGCCTTAACATGGCTCACTGTTGATTCCCCCCTTGGTGCGTTGGTTAAGATCCCATTCGTCAAAGATCTCACATTTTCCTTGCTCCTAAGCACCAGAATCTAATGAGGAGACTACTGTATAATGAAATTTTAAAAGTAATTTACACATGTACTTGTCCCTATATGGTCCAAGGTGCTTTACATTTTTCACAACCTTCTTTCTTTTCCTTTTTAGACAAACTCATTCCCTAGGATTGAGAAAAGTTGATCACATCACAATCCCACCCAAGTACAGAAGTCTCCATCTAAAATCAGTGTCTGTTTCAGTTAGGTAAAAAATACTATGGAGCTTGCAATGGCATAAGGTATTATGAGAATGCAAGGCACAAGTCGGTTGTTTTCACATTAGTTCACAGCTTGGTTCCCATCGGACACTGGGAGCGTCCAGTACTAGTGACAACTGTTTCCTTTTATTTAGTGCTAGTTTTTGCTTGTTTTTCGGAACTATTCACAAATCAAGTTTTTAAGTAACAACTAAGCCTTTGTTTGCGTTATTAAGAAGTTGGAGGCAAGGTTTTGGGGTTGTAATGAGACATAGCGCACTAGGTTCAGGTAACTGTAGAAAAAACTCTGGGAAATGGTGGAAAAAACTAAGGGCTAAAAGAGTTAATAAATAACTCAGACTGGTTGATGTTGACGTACCAAAAAATACAGAGTGAAAACTCACTTTTAAAAGCAGCAATTTACACGTTTGAAACAACACTATTTTCATTTTGGAATAAAGACCAATGGCCTTTACAAAATCCAGAGTTCCGTTTGGATCAATGATCCCTTTGTTTATTTGATTAAAATGGAAGGTTTCAGTACACACATGAGACAACATTCCATCACTGTTTTCTAGGCTACTCTGTCACCAGCTATTCCCTTCTACATTTTCTGACTAATTAAATTGAATTATCCCAATCTTGAAATGAGGATGTGATTTTAAACAAAGACAAAAACGTTCAAATTCAAACTTTACACATATAGATCCACAACAGAAAAATGTAAGCAGCAGGCAAAGCAAACACTTAAAGGAACAAAGCATACAAAAATGTTTATGAGGAACATGTTCAGACAGCAACAAACACTTATTCACTCTTATGCACTTCGTTACCTAAAAATTACAAAGTTTTATCTGATCAGTACTTAATTTTGAGAAATCTGATGATAAAAAATTTTGAGTTACACAACACCTCAAGTTTTTTTTAATACAATTCTTTGAATGTCTAGACGACTCCAAATAATCGTACAATTTTGAAAGAACAGAGAGAACATTTGGTTACTGACCTCATGGTCTTAGTATTGTTCATTGTTCATTGTTTCAGGAAGCAACATCCCTGCACTCCAGTCTTAGTGACAACTCAAAACAGCCAAAAATGTCATAAAGAGCTTTGTAATTCTATGGTAGCTACTTGTCTACATGAAAAGCTTTATATCACACTTTAAAGGTCTTCAAATAAACACTTCATCTAATTTTCCAATGATGAGATACGTCGCTGATGAAAGGAAAAAACATTTAGGCCATTCAACATCACCGAACAAAACATACAAAAAACAACAGCGCAGCGTTAAGTGTCTGCACTTTCCCTTCTTACCACTTTGAGCTTGTCACAGAGCCTTTTCTGCTGTTTGTAAATATCTATGACCAGAGCATCCAGCCTCTCACCAGAGTCATGGATTTGAACCACTTTACTGAAATACAAGCACATCAGAAAGAATCTTATTAAACTTTTTTTTAAACATATACAGTCGAACCAGGTCTAACAGCCACCGGTCCAAGACAGCCAATAGTACAAACAGCCACTTCGTATTCCCACCACCCTCTCTTGTGCTTTTATTTACCCACATTACAATGACAGTGTCAAAGACATCCATCTGTCTTAGAAAACAACTTTTCTCCTCAAGAATGGGTGGCCGTCTTGGACAATTTTGACTGCGCGAATGCACACACGAACGCATGCAGGCACACAGCAGACATCTCTTACTTAAGTCAGAACACCCTTCGTGATCTAGGGGTGACAAAGAAACCGCTTTCTATTGGTAAAATATCACGTTTAACCCCTTTATTTGTAGAACAACAAAAATGTATTTTGGCATAAAACAAAACAATCAACCCTTATACTACTGAGGCATGGGAAATATTCAAAGACCATCTACTGAAAAGGTGTAAAACTTGTATACAACTCAAACATTAGAAAGGTTCTGGGGCAGTTATTTTATTGAAAACAATTGTTTTCTTTTCTTTATAAAAGTTAAACCTCCAAATTCTCTCATTTGCAGTACACTGATTCCAAATGTGAGAGGGGTCCAACGATTTTTTTTTTTGGAGCATTCTACATCTTCGTTTATCTCTACACAAGGGACCAACGCTTGGAAAAAACAGTGTTTTCTTCTTAAATAAGAAATAAAAAACAATAAGCTTCATACCTGTAGAATTGCTTGTATGCCTCAAATAACATACTGGCCCGATTCACACAGTGATCCTCAACTAGGGTTCGTGCAGTTATACACAGTTCCTTCAGTTTATTCCTGAAAACATTCAATGTTTGTTTGAGTGAAGAAAAAGAAGCAAATCGACACAATAATGATCATTTGGTGCAGGGAAAAAGTTAAACGCATAGACAGAAGCAACCAAAGAAAAAATAAGAGGTATGAAAAACCTGTCTTGTCCTCCAACCACAAACAACACTGAATATTTATTTCTACTTCCAAATGAACAAAGAATTTACAAAACATCACAAACATTCGACAACTTTAGTCAGGTTAATGTTCAGTACCAGCCTTCAAGTAGTATTTTGGTAACAGAGACATAAACCAGTAAATTTCCTTAGTCCATCTCATTCTCAAAGATCCTGCCTCGGAAAGCGAGTGAGAAAAGATAAAAATAATATACAGGAGAGGATCTTCTCTTTTACTTTGACAAAGCATCGAAGATTGGCAGAATCTAAGTTCTTGACCACCGTGTCTAAAGAAAAGCAGAGATGCCAACCACAGAAAACCGCAATGAGTATTGGGAAATATGAAAATGTGTATTTTCAGGGGAAAATGTGTATTCCCCACAACCGACCGACCAACCAACTAGTAATAGTAAAATGGGGGGGTCCAGCAATATTTCCTGAAAAAAAAAATACTAGCTCACCAGCTCGAAAAAGGGAGCACACACGCGTACAATATACATGTATCCAGTCAACAACATGTCAGTGTTCAGAGTGGTACTGGGGTCTTGTTTGCCTCAAAATATTTCAGTCTATTATATACTGGTAATATTTTCCTCTCATTATTATGTAAAAAATCAATCCTGCTTTGAGCGTTCGGAAGGGTCTAGAACAAAAATTTCGACTATCAAGAACCAGTCTGGGTGTCATGATTCATATTATGAACTGACAGACTCAAATTATTGCTCAAACTCAGAGAAAAGCGATAACTTGAATGGCTCAAGTAGACCCACGCACTGTGAGAGTTGTAACAACTGTGGTAGGGCAAGATGCAGTGACACTGAAAATCTACCAGTCTTGAACAGAAAGCTACAACATACACTGTAGGTATTATAATTTACTATTACCCATCCAATGAAAAGCGAACACATTATTTCAATAACACAGACTTGCAAAGTATGAAGGGTCCCGATTCCGCACATGGCCTGCACCAACGCGCGATTTATAGAAAGCTCTAACTCTAATCAAAATTCTGAAATGTGCTTCCAAGTTTTTGTCCTCTGGTGTTGCCTTCACACCCTCCCCCATAGTATCTTAAACCCCCTAAAAATCAATAATCTCCTCCCCTATTCCGTAGTCCTATACTTCGCAAGGCCGTTACTCCCACCAAAGACGGTCTTTGCTCACACGATGCCGCATTTATTTATGACGCGAATGCGCGCAGGTTCAGTGACCGGTCACGATGGCGAGCCAGACAATCTAAAAATCGGACGACCTTTGGTATTTTCTTTTCTTTTTTTTCCACAAGTGACAGCACAGAGGCGAGTCCGAGCATTGATTAAATTGTATCTGCACGGCGACATTGCGTTTATATACTGCACAACCTGCATGTCACCAATGTTGCGTTATCAGACAACTGCTAGCAAACTACTTGGTGGTAACGAAAGCGAAAGTAGATCTTGATTTTCACGATCGAACCTCGGTGTCACATACGCTTCCGTCTGCCGCCCTAGCTGCCTATTCGCGTGAGAGTGAAACGTACTCTCCGGACCGGGAAAAGCTGAACGAATATAATATCACGATCGCGACCGGCAAAAATGAACTTGCTGACCACATCGGACTTGGTTTTCAAATACTCCAGTTCTGCGATACTGATACTGTTTTGACAAAAGAAGGGACTTGAGATAATTAGGTTTACCCGCCCAAGCTGAATCTTGTATTTTTCGCATTCCAGGATGCATATTTTTTCATGAAAAGTCGTATTCGCGTATTTTCGGCAAAAAATCGTACTAAAATACGTAAAATCGTACTGGTTGGCATCTCTGGAAAAGTTGTGAACATACATAAAAAAAGACAAACAAAATTTCGTAGACACATACTTGTCAAATCTGTGGATCTGTTCATCATTGTTGTTCAATGCTCGCCGGCTGCGGTCTTCTTTAAAGGATAACACAACTTTGTGCATTTTGCTGATCAGGACGTCCATTTTTTCAATGCTGGGAAGACATAAAATGAGAAAAAGGAATGATGATGGACTCATTGAGACAACTTTCATGTTAGGAAATACAGAAGTTGCTCAACCTGAGGCAATATTTTAAAGTGCTTAAAAATCCAAATTAAAATAAATGTGAGGCATCATGGTGAAATCAGGCACTCATCAATATAATGAAATCGAAGAAATCGACATTTTGCAGCCCATTTGGCAATTTTTGAGCGAAATTCTCAAACGAATCCTACTCAAATACGGGAAGAAACTCCACACTAAACAATCAAGACAACCTTTTCAAGTGGAACATGTCCACCAGAAAAATGCAGGCTGCTATTTGATAGAATTAAAATTGGGACTGTTCATTGAACATCAACTCAGTTGGGAGTAGAAGATCATAAAAGATCAACCCTGAGTGAAGAAAGGATGGGGAATCCACAGTAACTTTTACCCCAAGAGCAAACCCCTCCCACATACCTCACCTCCCCCTTTGCCCCCCCCCCCGAAAAAAAAATTGCTTGTCAAGAGAAGGAGAAAATCACTCACCATCTGTCGGATGGCATGCAACCTACACTGGGGTCCCACCCGGCATCAGCAGTTTGACCCACTTTGATATTCTCCAGCATTGACACCGCTTTATCCAGCTTGCTGTGAATCTGAACAAAACACACAAAATGTTTCAAGTGATATTCAATCCATTGCTAAATACACAAGCACATTTTCAAGTACTGTAAAAGGTATTACAATACTGTCTGCAAAACTTAAGTACTTTCAAAGAATATGTTTTCTCCCAGTTGCAAAAGGTGAGAACTTAAAATAAGTACACTTGACCAAAAATTTTTCGTAGCAGACAGGCAAGGTCAGCATTTCCTTCTCTCTCCTTCTATCTCTCTCTCTCTCTCTCTGTAGACAATATCCAACTTTTGGAATGCAACTAGGATTTTTGTATATATATCTCAGACAATCAAATATTGTGAAGGACAAATAGTAGAGTTCGGTCGGGCTTGCTAACTCAACGAGTAACGAACGGTTCGCTGGTACTACTCGCACATCAGGCGCAGAGACAACAGTTTGTTTAGCGAGCAAGCGAACGAGCTGACGCGCGGACAGACAAAGCGACTCCATGCATTTGAGAGGGCGGATGGATGGACGGAGCGACTCCTTCCATTGCATACAATTTACACACCCTGCCCCCCCAAAAAATCACCCTCCTGCCCCACACTGTAGCAAGCCGTTCATGGCAGAAATTTCTCCCCCCTGCCACAAAAAAGGCCTTTGGGAAATCTTTTAACTTCGCCTTCTCGAAAAATTAGAACGTACACAGTATGACCCACACATGGGGTGAAAGGTTACACACATAGTACCCAGCCTCTCTCACTCCCAGTGGCACTGCTAGAGGCTTGAAATATGAGGACTAAACGAAGGGCCTAACCTCGCATCGAGTAGGCTTATCTTGTCTGCTATCCTAGAGTTCGTCCGCTCACCCCAACTCCATCAAATAGGTTTGGCAGACACACAACCAACTTCTTTTTCGTAACAAAGCATAAACGGTGAAACTCGAAGTCAGACGGATTGGGCCCCAAGGAGGACATCATTGCATCGCTCTCCGTGGCCACAAGACACTCTAGTCAGAATAATACTGTACATAGACAGCATAAACGTGGGAGGCTTCCATTCAAGCAAAAAAGAGTCCGAGTGTTAATATCTCTAGCACTCCAGGAATTTTCACGTTTCTAGAACTTCAGAAATTTCCAGAAAACACCCACCGAGGTTGAGACCTGTGTACACTCTCTGTTCCCCGTCTGGTAAATGGTCTGCAACATGTTTGCCCGGCCCATCACGTCCAGGCCTGGTGGCTTGACGTTGCTGTTAGACAGAGCCTGGATGGGAAATACCAAACTTATTTTTAGTGTTGGTTTTTATACGGGTTTAATGCCTGTGAGACAAAAATAGACAATCTTGAGGGTGGCACATTTGCTTGGTGGAATATGTACTGAAGAAGGAAGACAGAAACATGAAGAAAAGAGAAGGCAGAAGGCAAAGAAAGAAGAAATAAAAAAGAAGGAAGAAATAAAATGGAAAAAAAGAAGGAAAAGATGGATAAAATAAGGAGGAAGACAGAAAAGAAAGAAGGAAAAAAGAATACTGAACCTGAAAAATCACAACACTTGTGTTCCAAAAACTTTCCCCTCTTAATTTCACATATCTAAAACAGACAGGCCTTCTTTTGTACCTCTCACTGGAAGGATGAAAAAAAATGCTTCTGAACTTCATAAAGATGTGGCCTCAAGTGCCAAAACACACTTTACAACCCTGTTCATAATGGTTCTCTGGTTGCTTGGAATCTGTTATTTGAGCTGACACCTATTCTTTTTTCCTCATCCAGTTTAACCCTGAGCAGGTTTTCTGACCAAGCCAAGAAAAAGACAAAAACGTACCAACATGGACCAATAATCACAACTGAGTGAACATTGCTAGTAATTTGACAATGACAATGACAATCTTTCTTCATATCGCAGAGAGAAATTTGTCTTGGTCGTTTACAATGACAGTGGATGTTACAAAGGTAAGGAACACTCAATTGTAGACCCAAAAACCCCGGACTAGCATGCTCTCACAAAACATAAACACCAAAATGACTGAAAGAATAGCAGGATTCAAAATGGTCTAAATTGTGTTAAAGAGGGAAGAAAGCTGAAAATGAATTGAAAAAACAATGTTTTGAGGGCCATACCTTCAGCAGGGTAGCCTGAGTGTTAAGTGATGAGAAGAGGTGCTCTTTCCAAGAGCGAGCATCACTACAGCCACGCATCACGTGGCCCATTGAAAGCTCCATCTCCAAACTTTTGTGCTGAATGTGATTGCTGGGGAAAACAGTACACAACCCAGTCATAAACACAAAGGTAAGATGCAAAACAAAAATCAGCATACAGACTGACAATTCATCAATTTATAAGTAAAGTACAAGTAATAAGGGACTTATAGCACTTTTGTCTTTGAAAACTTCATCAACATGTTGTTTGCGTTAACATTTTGCAAAGCATATTTATTATAATGCTAACACTAATAGGCATGATATCACTGTTTTGAGCAGACATTAATCTTTCAGCAAGTAACCTGTTTTATTAGTGAAACTATTTCCTTTTTCAATAAGCTTTTCCAAATTACCCAACCATGAAACATTTTCTGGAAAGTCTAAGGGCTCAGCAGTGCATGTATGGGGAAGACACACAAAAAGGTAAAAGCACAAGGGTGATCCCTATACAAAGATGTACCATACCATCTGAGAATTACATTTCTCAAGGTTAACACCTGTGCTTTTAATTATAACAAGCCTTAAACTTAACTTTTCATGACATGGATGGGAGGTCCTTCTATGATTCTTGAGTTTTGGAAAACAGAAAGAAAAACTGACCTGTACATTTTCACTGCCATGTTCATTAGATTGTTGCACTGGAGGATGACCTTGACAGCGTTTCTGACAGAGTGCAGAACAGCGTAACATTTCTTGCTCAGGGGGTAATCTGTGTCAACCATGGTCTCTGGTGGGATGTCTGGGAACTTGCCTGTCACAACACAAGAACCAAAGCTGTTGATGATGTTGGTTTTTTAGAGTTTTTTTGTAAGAGTTTTCCATGATCCATCACTTGCAACACAATTAGGTCATACTAGTTTCCAAGATTAGAAGTGTTTAGTTTTAGTAGTTTAGTAAAGAGTTTTACGGCACTTGCAACACAATAAGGTCATATAAGTGCCGAAGATTAGAGGTGTTACAAGAGAGTAACAACAAACGTAAAAAAGAAGGAGGAGAGATAAGGACTATAGATGTTTAAGAGGAAAGAAGGAGCAAACCACACCAGAGCACCCGCCAACCACCCACATTAGAAGTGTGTGTTACAAGAGAATAACAAACACAAAAGAGAAAGATCAAGACAATAGATGTTTGATGGCAAGAAGGAGCAAACCATACCAGAGCACCCTTCAACCACCCAGAGGAACCAAAGGACCATGGCTAGTTCGCGTCACATTTTGAACACACTTGCTACAATGATGCCACTCTTTTTTAAAGAGCACCTCCTCATCCTTGAAAGCAGCCATTCATTTTTCATCAGTTTATACTTCATTCTGTCTTCCAAAAGAATCTTTTTTGTTTTAGTTTCAGTAGAGGTGTTACAGTGCTTGCAACTGCATAAGGTCATATGAGTGCCAGAAGATTAGAGGTGTTACAAGAGAGTAACAAACATGAAAAAGCAAACAACACCAGAGCACCCACCAACCACCCACCAAAAGAATCTACCTTTTTTTTTGGTTCTGTTTGAGACAAAGAGCAGCATTTCAACACAATTACAGTCGTTTAAGGCAGAGAAAAGGTAAAGACAGATACAACAGGGGAATGGGAAAGAAATACTACAAACAAGTGGTGCACTTCAACAACTTATGTGATTACGGATGGTTATTAGAGCTCGAAAGCAACAATACAAAACAGACGGTAAACAACAGGACAGAAAGAAAGAAATATAGACTATAGGCACCTTGACCCTTCCAGCCCTATGTGCATATATTTTCGTCAGCGCTTGTACTTCCCACCTTCCCAAGAGCGTATATTCTCAGTTTCAAGGGGTACCGCATTTGGGCATTTTTTTGAAATTATCAAACCTAGTTAAACTTTAAATTTTCTAATATTCGTTCATTTACCTTTAAACATTGTTATATGTTATTATCTAAACCTCATTACAAAGAAATTACATCACTTTTTAGAATGCATGCCTCTTGCTCTTAAATACTGCTGTATTGGCTGGGATGGGGTAAGGGAGTGCACAAAAATGGTTGGAAGGGTTAAAACTACACTCAGCATCAGACGAACCTGTACCCCCTGGGGCGGTGCCACTGACTGTAGTGTCTTTAGGTCATTCCCAAAGGAGGGACATTTTTCGTTCAAGCACAGTAGAATTGTAAATGGGCTGATTCATGTCACGCTCATAACTGTGCCTGATCTGCAGCAGGGAACTGCTGGTTTTTCTTTCCTAATCCTTACTATTGTCATTTGCCTCTACTTCTTTTGTATGTTTGTCACTCTCTAGTGACCTGCTATTTCCAGGGTGCCTTGAAAGTCGAAACAGACTTTGTGCTGTTGAAGCTAGAGAGGTGAGCAGAGTAAGTCTGATTCCCTGTAAGGACTTCTCTGTTGACACCCACCCTTTGGCGCTCACATGACCTTATGCAGTTGCGAGCGCCGTAAAACCCTCTCCCCCCAAAAAAAAGACGAACCTGGATTAGATTCAAAGAAACTATCACATTCACAATCAGTCACAACCGCATTAAGTCTTCAGAGTAAATTTTAGAGTCCTTTAAACTGAATTTTTCCACAGAAGACATTCAAATGAACAAAACATTCATAAAACTATGTACTAGACAAATTTGACAATCTTTGCAATCAAGTACCAATAGACAATTACAAACAGCAAGCCATAAATGCAATGGTCAAACCGAGACCACTTGTTGTTTACAAAAATTATATTGGTTATTTCTTCATGCACTCACAAAACTTCATGTAGCCTTTAAAGCTTGGTAAAAAGAATTTATAGAAAAGAATAACCATAGGCAAATGCTCTGCAAACAACAGATGTAAAGTGAAGCATACACTCACTCCTATAAATATTCAGATATTAGATGTAGCAATGCCAATCGGGCTTCTGCGCACTGCGAAAATTTGGTCCCCGTTAGCGGGTGAATTTTGGGACTGGGTCGGAACAATAGTGACTAACCTTCTCTAGCTCTTTCTGCTCTATTTCTCTACCGATGTGAATGAAACTTGGCAACCAATTAGAAAATAGGGCAAACTAATGATATGTGGTAGTCGAAGTTCGTACTCATAAATAAACCTATACTTTTGGAGTTGGAAATACTTTTGTATTGGGTACACCAAAAACTATAAGGAGTTTGATATTCGACACCGAGATGGTAAGAGATCCATCTTTCCTCTATAGTGTGTTCAAATTTGAACCTTCTGTGTCAAGTTGTTGTGCAGAATTTATTATAAATGTACCACTACCCCCCTGTCCAAAGCGGCTTCGAACAGAGACCGGCCATTTTCCCCTCACTCCCTATGCAAAAGTATGTGACCTACAAATCCCCACATGACTATTCCGAGCCCATTCATTGGTCACTTGAAATAGGGCAATGGTGGGCACGCGCTTCTGGTTGTTTTTCTCTCTGTTCCCCTGTAACATCGCAATGGGGGTATTCCGAGGTGAGCTTATCTCGACTCGGGGTGCTCGTGTCTCAACAGGAAAAAAGAGTTTTTAATTGAACGGCATGCTAGATTGAATTAAATTGTATTTTATGGTTGGCATGGTCTAAAGCCATCAAACACAGCTTTGCCATTATTAAATCACGCTGTCAACATATTCTTAAAGATCCCATGTTGTGATACAATGCTATAAATAAAATGCTCTCATCCTGACACCCCTTTTTCGCAAAATCGAAATATGTATGCCAAAATTTTAATTATAACAAAATAACGACGAAATGGTTAGTAAATCAGACTGCAGAAATGATTTCTCCACCCAAAAACACATCGAAAGATCTTGTCAGTTTGTTAGTGTTTGAGCGCTTAATCGGCTGCTCGCACTGTATGCTTCCCGGGAAGCTGAGAATGTTTCGGAGTGTTGTATGGTCTGCTGGGGTAATAATATAGTGTAAAGCACTTAGAGCCTGCTGTTGAGCGGGGATATGCGCTATACAAATGCTATCTATTATTATTATTATCGGGTAGCCAAGTTTCTCTCTAACACTCCAATTAATTACTGAGACATCGTCTATTTTCTTACAGCATCTGCTACTGCAAGGTCCACTTTTAAGGAGTATTTTCCTATATGTGGGTCATCCATATTTTGCAGACTTTTACAACCCCATAACTTTTTTAATTTATGAACCGATTCTCAAAATTCAAAAAGCATAATTCTTAGAATTAAAAACTCTTTCTTAGGTACCAATGAAAAAATGATAAAGCTTAAAATGAACTTTTCATTGGCATTGCTATTAGATGAAACATTTCTACACACAATTAACAGCAGTAGATCTAACAAAAGGCATAAAGTCCAGACAGTATTAATACAAGGACCAGTAAATCATACACACACCCACAACCTACCCTTCTGTTCACTTTCTGATCGCAGGTTTAGGGTAGCGTTTTAACTGAGACAACGTGCAGAGCACAATCACTGAAAGAATCATTTCCTATTCATTTATCAAGATCAGCTTTAAATGACTTAACACTTAACAAAAGCAACTTGATGTAACACATCTTTAAAAAAAAAAAGAATCATTTCTAGAAGACACTTACCAACAGCAGGTTTGATGAACCGCTTAAACTCTGGTAACTTGTTGAACACAAAGATAGGATGCTCGGGCGAGACGTGAGGTAGGTAGCTAGACACAGGTTCACGGGACTCGTCCTTCAGCTCCTTGCCGTCCACCATTAGAAGCTGGGCCCCACCTGGAATGTCTGTCTGATCAGTGATCAGCTGGCGCAACTGAGACATGCTGCCGGGTATTGAAAAGGAGATCAAAAGTTCACAATTAGGAGGAAATTGTCAATAATACTACTACTACCAATAATACTACCACTACTAATGATAATACTACTCCTAATAATAATAATAATAATAATAATAATAATAATAATAATAATAATAATAATAATAATAATATAATAATAATGACAATAAAAGCAATAGTAGTAATAATATAACAACAACAATAACAAAATAAAAACCAAATCAAAATTATTTTTAAAATTATAATTACATCAAAAATTGCAATAACAATGTAACAATAACAATAATTGCAATAATGTCAGTCATAAAAGTAACTGTGATGAAACATAAAGAAAGAAGCTTCTTACATTGCCTTCCATGGGAAATTGGGTTGTAGACTTTTAACAAAAAAACTTGCAAGAAACTACACAGTTACACCAATATAACATAAACTTCTTGTGATGGTGGTAGTTTGGGAAACGGCTGGCAACTAGTAAAAGCACTTTTTCCTGTGTGCTCCACAGCACTGCCAGAGAATACTTCACGTATAAGCTGACTATGTGAGAAGGGCACGGGAGAGTAATGATTAACGAGGGCAATCTTGGAACATTATTTACTTTTCCACCCTTGTTCCAACATCCTTTGACCTACGTTCTCACTGAGCTCACTCTCAAACAGTCAGAGAGTACCCCAAGAGTCGTACAACGTTGGAGCTCCTCCTTTAACAATTCCAAAAGGATACATTCACTATTCTATTTCGTTATGAATGCAGACTCTTGGCTTATGACAAGAGTTTACAAACAGAATCTGCTTAACTCACTTGAGCCTGAGCTTTTTTTCCCACAACAACCATTGCAGCCTGACACTTTGGGGTATATTGAATAGTTGACCACAAAAAGACTGTGAAAGCGATCATAATTTTTTTCTATGCAACAAGAGAAAGAAAGAAATGCTCTCACAGAAAAGGAAAACTGCATCTAATTTGTCCAAATAGTTTTTATGTTATCAATATTTTGAACTGGCAATGTCTGGGGATTATGCAATTTTTTTAGTGCCTCATTTATAAAATCATCAGTCGCAATGCAGGGGTGAGTGACTTAGTTCGTTTCAGCTCAAAAACTATCGTAAATAACTTCACCAATCTTTTTATGGAACGAAACCAGCGGGTCAACTGTTGGCTCGCCTTTTCCCATAGCTTATAACTGAAAACCACGGGAGATATCAATCGATAAACCTCATCCCTTAAATACACGAGATTAAGCCACTGGGCCGGCTAGCGGGGCGTCCCGTAATTACATGGAAATAGGCTCAAGTGAGCTAAAGCTGCAATATGAATAGGGACATGACCATACTTACTCATCCCTCCCTCGTGCATACAGTGTGAGAAGGGAGAAAGAACTGGGGCAGAAGGCATAATACGGAGTCCTTGACGCGATGTCATCCACACGCAGAAAGAAGTCATCAAATGTCATTGTCAAATTCTGGTCCTTTTCCAGCAGTTTTGCAAGGCATGGGGTGATTAAACTTTTCAGACCTCTGTCAAATGAAAGAAAAAAGACTCTTGCATAATCTGTACACAACATTCCTTTGTTTAAGTTAAAAAAGAAGCACGTCCATATGATAATGTTCACTTAATGCCACGTATTTTTTTAAAGAGAAAAACATTTACATAATACCTCAATCATTTAATACAGGAAAAAAGAAAGATAGAAAAAAATGAAGGGACCATACAAAGTGGCATCCTCCAACCACCTGTCTTTCAGAGCTGAGTAACAGAAGGTAAACAGGAACATCAGAGGGATAGTTTATAAATAGAATCTACCAGTAGCTTCCTCCCACCACTGCCTTTCAGCATTGGGAGGAAGCAAAACAGACAGACAGAAATATATCATACTGACAAAAACATAAGGTTGACAGTTCAGAGGTAAACACATATCAGGGGAGCAATCGAACTGCCAGAAAAACTAGTAAAAGCTCATCAGATTTACATGTGATAAAATTACATGTTATTTTAACATGCACTGAGGAGACTCTAACTCCTCAGATTCGACAGTAAGTGTTTTGCATTTTCATCAATACAATAAAGAGCATATGGAAAGCAAGGTGGTGGGTGGTTGGCAAGTGCTCTGAAGTGGTTTGATCCTTCTATCCTATCAAACATCTGATCTGTCGTCCTTATCTCTCCTCCTTCTTTTTTTTGTATTTGTGTTTGTAACTCTCTTGCAACACCTCTAATCTTCAGCACTTTTATGACCATATGAAAAGCATGCTGACAAAATGAGTTCCTTCACGCAGTCCAGGAACGGAGACATGGGTCAAACATTGACACAGGGATCAAATTTGTAGATTTTCAACGGAAGCTATTTTCTTCAAGTTTAACATTTCTTCTGTCATTTTATACAAATAAGTTGTACAAACTCAACCAATAAATTTGACGTATCTATGTCCATAGGGCTAAAATGTGAGAAAATAATTCATTTTGTCAGCACACCTCACGTACTGTGTTGCAAGTACCATAAAACACTAAAACAAAAACCACAAAAACCCACAAAAAAAGCGAGGTATTGTGATCCTAACAAATCATTCACCTGGACAGTCTGCAAGTAGGAGGTAAATCTTTACTCCACCGGATGGGCCCACCGTGAGTGTCTTGGACACCTGAGATCACATCATGCTCTTTTTTCGCAGTTATTTGGTGCCTGCAATGAGGGAGGAGAACAAAAGAGGCTAAAAACACTTCTGTATTGGAATATGTCTAAATTTTGTTTTACAATAGCAAGTAGAACACTGCATGTGAACCTATGAAACGAGCTAAAAGGTCTTTTCAAAAGGGCATGGCCACCAAAATTCTCAGGTCAAGTAACTTCAAAACATATAATGGGCGAAATAAATTACAATTACATGCTAATATCTCAATTAGCACAAAATGAACCACAATGGCAGCGGTAAAAATCACGCAAAATCAAGCAACCTATGCATGTACACATGCAATAATTGAAAACCTGCTGGTTTAGAGAACCAAATCCATGGAAGGAAGTGAAATATTCATAACTTGGCTTTAGGAGAAAAATTATTATTTTCTCAGTAGCATAATTTATTTACTTCTTCTTTCTTTATTCTTTACGTTCCCCTGCTACATCTCAGGGGTAGTCAACTATTGTTTTTTTAAATTTTTATCTACTTACATTGTTTCTCTGTTTTTTCGGCCTCCGAAGGGTCTGAAGGGGAGACTACCAGTGGCTGCATGGTAAAATGTGACTCCCAGACTCCACAGGTCAACATAAACACCAAATTGTTTGCCCCTTGATTTCCGTAAAACGGCACGCTCATACATATCTGGGTGCTGCAAATAACGCAAGGCAAGAATAGTGTGACAAAAAGGAAAGGCTTAAAGAGTATAAACAGCAATGGTGTCTTTGTCTAAAGGATGTGTTCTTTATGTCTCTGAAAAGTTTAAAAAGGTATTGTAAAAATCCATATACCCACCGCCATTTCAGCATCAGACAGCTTTTCTCTTATACTCCAACATATGGCTATAATGAAGCCAACACTTGCAGTTTTATCTACTTGAAAAAGAGCAGGATTGCTACTTAAAATCCAAAGGATATATGTGAGGCTTACTGAAAAACTTAGTTACTCCTCGTAATCCACGACGTGTTGGCTGAAAGTCAACACTGGGGTCAAATTTGTGAATTTCAATTGATGCCAATTTCTCCAAATCTAACATGTTTTTATCATTCCAGACTTATACATAGAGCAAACTCCACCAATCAATTTGACATATCTACGTTTCTGTAGGGCTAAAATCAGATGATTAATGCAATTTGTCAGCAGGCCTCACATATTTGATGAATTTGAGAAAGACATTAATGACTGGTCAAGGGATCGGTTAAAAACTGGGTCACAGAGAGGGTCAAGCAGTGATAAACTAAGCACATAGGTCACTTGGGGAAAGGGGGGGGGGAACCTTGAGCAAGACACATTTACTTTAGCTCATAAATACATCACACCACAGCGACAGTCAGCAGTGGGGAGAAAATTTGAGTCTTTGTGTTATATTCTGAACGTAAAACACTTCAAATATTGAAAAATCACCCTCTAAAAACAATAAAATATTTTCTTTTCCTGAAAAATGTACCGAGTTAATTACTGTTAAAAAAAATTCCCTTAGCACATTTGTCTGCTTGTGTGAACTAAAAACACAATGACCCCCAAACAAAAGTTCGGAAAAACAGAGATGACAGACCAAACATGCACAATAGAAAAGAAGAATATTGGGCCTACCAAAGGCAACAGCATGATTTTTTTAAATGTTATCAAATCTCTGAACATGATGGCACTGCCACAAAAATCCAGGACAGCATGTCATTAAAAAAAAAGATTTGAACCCTAAATATATCACGCAGCTTAGGGCTACAACATAAAAATCTCAGAGAGGCAAAGCCTAGAAATGATGCCGAAGAATGATGAAATTACCGATTGTGAAGAAAAGGAACAAAGAAATCAGACCCCGATGGGCTTATTATGTTTGGCATCATAAAACGAGAAACAACAAAAAGGGGGAAAAAGCCAAGACTGTCATGAAGAGACACAGACAAAGAGAGACTTAGAACAGACCAAAAAAGAAGTAGAAGATAATTCTAAAACAAACAAGTCCTGCAAAAGGTAGAAGACCCAATATGTTAAGTCCATTATAGGAACTGAAGGCCTGATTTAAGTGTACCCACCAGATACTCATCTGTGCCATACAAAGACAGAAACTCCTCATCTTGCTCCAGTTCCCGGGCAGCTCCAAAGTCAGTTAATTTAAAAACAGACCTGAGGGATGATCAAAACATGATTTTATGTTCAGTCTTGTGGTGAGAAATCTAATGGTAAGATTGCCCAACTCCTGAGACAGAAGGGCATTGGTTCATCTAGTTTTAAAAAGGGTTTTACAGCAACTGTAAAACAAATAGGTCAATGTCTAGTATTGAATATTCCCCAAACAAGGTTGAGGTTTTAATATAACTATACGGTTGTTCCTTTCTTCTAAAGTTCTTGTTGTACGGACATGGGCACTCTTATGGCAGGTAATCCCAAAAAGACAAAGGAAACCTCACCTTCCATCTTCCCTCACAGAACGTAGAATGTTGCCAGGCTTTATGTCCCTGTGAATGATCTTGTTATCTCTCAGATGCTTCACACCAGCCGCTACGAAAAAAATGTTTTTTAAAATTAAAATTAGCAACTTTTCATAAGTTACATGGAAATATAGTAAATGCATACATATTGGGGAAAAAAAGGGGGGAGGGGTGGGAGGTTCCAAGATTCTAAAACTTTAACCAAAAAGCACATTTGCAGCCAGCTGCTTCTTTGTTTTGGTAAGTGTTTTTACGGCGCTTGCAACTGCATAAGATCATATGAGCGCGCGGGACACACCTAATATTTTCAGTTGGTAGGAAATTTTGAATTTTGCCCGGGTGGCGGCCGAAGCCTACTCTTATCGATTTTAGACCACCGAGGGATCTTTAACGTGTGCAACTTGCATACGGGCCCTCCGAGATTATTCGCCCGTGTCCGAGAGGCTAGGTGTAGATCTTTCCTACCAGAAGATCAGGGGTGTGGCAGAAAGACAGCAGTTAGGAGGAGGAAAGGAGTAGCAGTAGAAAGGCTGCAGAAAGAGTCAGGAGCCCAGAGGAGGGGGCAAAGGAGGTGAAGGGGTGGGGGCAGAAAGTGGAAAAGAAAGCAAACAACAGAACATTGCTAGAGAGCAGGAAAGGAGGTGAAAGGAGACAATTTTAGAGAAGAAAATTTTGCGGTCGCTACCCGGATTCGAACCCAGGACCTTTGAATGAGAGGCCAACACCTTAACCTCAAGGCCACGAGAGGCCCCCCCCCCCCCCCCAGCTGCTTCAAATTTGTTTTTTTATTTGTACATCTCTTTGCTTCATTTACATTACCTTTCTGCACAGCTCAAGATATCATGGTGTTAATCTGGAGGTCATCCCTAAGGAGTGCAGGTGCAAGTCCTGTAGGCTCAGGGGGTCAGGGCTCAAAGAGTTAACCGCTCTTTTTCTACTTCTTAGCTTTTCCAGAAGTTGGACATTGCTTCTTGAACCTTTCTGCCTGGTTGAGTTGTTTTGGTTCAAAGCAAGGTTTTTATATCCTGTTCCCGTTTTCTGTTCCGTCTCCCCATTCCTCACTTGCCTTCTACCTTTGTTTACAGAATATGTTTCTCGGGTGAATCAAGGCATTTGATATGCCCAACATTGTTCAGTTTCAACTTCAATGTATTCTGAAGGAGTGTTGATGTTTTCATACATATATTCTTCTCAGCGCTTATCGATTTGTTCATTCTCTGTCTCCACAGTATTCGTGGAATTCTTCTTTAACATTTCACAATGTAACATATGAAATGTTATAGAAGTAATGTTGACTGCTACAACACACAATCGATTCATTTGTGTACTTACTGACTTGAGCAAGCACCCGCAGGAACTCCTCTTCAGCCAATCCAAAGTTATTCTCAGCCATGTCAAGGAGGTTGTACAAGGTGCCATGTGTACAGAATTCCATCACTATAACTTTTGCCCGGCTTGGTGACTGCATCAAAAAGTGACCACAAAAAAAAACCAAAAAAACAACTATTTCAGAATTTAATTCAATTTTATCAGTTCCTAAAAGATTTATCAGATCTACCATTGTTGTGATTTAACTATATCAGCATAGGAATCCTTTTTGCTACATACAGTCGACCACGCAACAAAATAAATCGATCAGAAAACTTAACAAAGAAAAATATTTATAGTGCGGAGATTATATGTTGTGTATATCAGTTAATGGAGAAAATGCAAATGAGTATTGTGAACAGATCAGTCATTCGCTTCATAAGTCTGGCCATGGCAGTTATGAAGTCTGACTGGTATGGTTCATCAAAATAGGGCATGATCAGACCATTATTAGCCACACAACCCTTCTCTATAACCCCTTATCTGACCCAAAGACATACACAGACAGTACATTGTAAGATAGTGTTTTCCACAATTCATATTCACTATGTGTAGCAACAAGAGCTGATAAAAACGTTTTGTTTAATTTTCCTTGTAGAAGTTCTTCGAGAAAATTCTGCATTCTCGTACAACAAATTTGAAAAGGAAGAGACAAGGATGCCAGAAAAAAGCAAAATACAGTAAAAATCCAAATGAATTGATTTCTTCCCACACTTCTTATCTTCTTGTCAATCAAAAACGTACCTCTTCCTCAATGGCAAGCAGCTTCACAATGTTCTCATGGCTCAGTTTTTGCATGACTTCAAATTCACGACGTTGAACAGAAAAAGGCCGCTGATAGCTCTGAGAGTTGAAAACTTTGACAGCCACTTCATCTCCAGTTTTCTGCATGAGAGAAAATTTTGACAATGGTCTTTTTCTGTTCATACAGTCAAAATTGTCCAAATCCATTGTCATGGAAAAAGTGGTCGACTTAGACGAGTGGATAGCTTGGACCATGTCAGTTTAGTATGAGTTTTACAGCACTTGCAACACAATAAGGTCATAAGATTAGAAGTGTAAAAAGAGAGTAACAAACACAAAAAAGGAGGAGAGATAAGGACGATAGATGTTTGATAGGAAAGAAGGAGCAAACCACACCAGAGCACCCATCAACCACCCGCCTACATTAGAGTCAGTAACATTTTTTTTTTAAAGCAAGAGGGAAGTGGAAAGTGGTCATTTGTACGGGTAATTGACTTGGACAGGTGACTGTTAGAGAAGGTTTGACAGCACTCATCTTGCAGAACGTGCTGTTACCTTTCACCGCCGCATAAAAGACCCCAACAATAAGCAACATTCTCTCGCCATCTGTCTAGTTGATCAACACCTGATGAGGCACAAATGCTCGTGGCTACATTCGTTAATGGGAAATCATCACAAGAAATCAAGTGTTAATGCCAATGCATTGATATCACGCACTCCTGAGAGGTGCTAGTAAGTACTAGATACTTCAAACTGATTCAGTTCTTCAACATCACAAGCTGATGTATATAAAATTAAATTCACAAAACAACTTTTCCCAAGCATGAATCATATCCAAGCCGCAGCATCCAGTTTCGTGTAATCCTGAGCCTGAAAAAAAATCAATCACATATCCCATTCCCAAGCGAAGCCACCAGAGTCAATATCCACCTTTCATGTAGAAATGCATAGCTTCAAAGTACATCAGAAATGCCAAATTATGGCAATTCAAAAGTAATTACTATGGCACCCTCTATTGAGCAACAAAAAGCACTTGTACAACCCAGGAAAAGAGATAAAATTCCACAAATGTCCCTTCTCTCCTCAGGTGTACTCATTATGAAAAAGCAGAAAACATTATTCTGGTTCCAGTACAAGAACAGTAAAACCACGAGTCACATTAGATGGATATCTAGCTGAGAAAGTTTTGTATAAGTTTGGGGAGGGGTGTAAGGCTGTAGAGACGTGGTTCCAGTGGGATGGGGTCACACCCCATACGCCAAGAGTGGCCTTGATATGGGTATAAGAGAGGTTTAGGGAGCGGCTTATGAGTCGTACATTTGCAGATGAATGGTCATCACATTCTCCCTAACTTGAGCCCTTTCAATTATCACCTTTGGGTTAGTTGATGGACAGAGTCTACGGAAACAACAAATGAATAATCGAACAGTTAAAATTCAATGTTGAACACGATGTCCAAACAACTGACCCAGAAACATGTCACTGGGTTATTAAAAATTTCCAGCGGCATATTGGAGCTTGCAGGGAGAGAAAAGGTCAAAACCTGGAGATACAAACAGCCATCACCTCCATCACCTCCCAGGGTTTATTTGGCAATATTAATTTTGTATAAATTTGTTTTTCACTGCACAGACAGTGACTATTTGAAATGGAACAATATTGTTGATTTTTAAGAAGTTGCCAAGTTTTGCGTTTCACTCAACGTTGGTTGAAATTTTAACTTGATCATTTTCGAACTTGTTGATTGATTTTTTTTATACTGACCAATGTAATGTCCTCATGGTTGAATTTGATTTCTTCAAAATTTTGTTGAAATTGGTAGAGACGACCGAGTTATTACACTTTAAATGGGTCCTTTTTTTTTAAACACCCAGTACAATAAGCACTCTATTTAGATGTTGATCACAGCTTTAAAGCCTAATGAGTGTAACCCTCTTGTCTCTCTTAACATTTTATCTTGGAAACACATCCCGACCTCAGAGCTTTCTTGTCGTATCTCCATTTTTTTCAAAAATGAAAACAGTTCATAACAGTTCAAAGAGTGAGCTTTAAATAAAAGAAAAAGACACATTTTTCAATGTTAAAAAAAATGGAGATACAAGAAAGCACTGAGGTCGCGACATCATGAAAGACAAGAAATTATAAATAGCTGTTTCACACATTAAGTATTTGTTAACATGTTAACATTCCTTTCATTCATAATCGCACACTTGAATTTTATAAGCCAGTCAGCTCAACGCTTAAAATATAGTAAAAAATTTGTGGCCTTTCTTAACCTCAAATATCTCTTTAACTGGTGAATCAATGTCCCTCATACCTTTCGCAGCAGTTTGTATCAACCTGTCTCAACTTAATCCTATTTTTCCACAACAACTGAGGTTAGATTAAAAAACCTTTCTTCATAAACATGTTTAAAAAATAAATAAATCTCTGCCATGCGGAAAATGAGTGTTCACAGCACTGTCTGCTTCACATACACATTTTTACACATTTTGCATACATATGTGGCCAACGTCTCAGCTCACAAATGACACTTTTTATAGGAAAAACTTTAACCCATACATAATAACGATCTCCTGATAAATGCCAAGTGAAATTGTAAAGAATTTCTGCTCATACTTTTTATAATAGTCTGATGAGAAGCAGCACGATGGTGGGGAGGAATCGTAATTGGATATTGTGATAGGAAGTTGCCTTGGTTTGATGCTGTCATTCTTTACTTTAATAGAAACACAAGTGCCATTGCACTAAAGGTGTTCAAAACATGAGTTCCATTAACATAATCTTGTGATTAGAAGAAGTCAGACAGACCTGCTGTTAAAAGTGCTATTGTCCCAGCTCATAGGAGGTAAACCTTTAAATGTAAGTAGAAACCATTGATTAAGATTTTTATTCTTTTTTTTATTTTTTGGCAGCAAATTTCAAGAATACACCTCTCAGGTTTTTAAAAAAATATTCATTAGTTGAGACAAATTGATACAAGTCATTGTGAAAAAGTCTTTTTAGAGAGTCTACGTTCAATAGTCGAGGAAATAATTGAAAATAAGTCACAACACAAATTTTTTACAGCACTATTGTACAGTTTCTCGGAAATAGGGGATTTTGATGATAATGAGAAGAAAAAAAGACAGAAACAACAGCATAAAACATTAAAACACACATCCAACAAAGCTGTCGGGTTCAACCTTCAATTTCATTGAATTCAAATGTTTGGTGGAAAGGTGTGAATAACTGGAACATTTTTGATTGACAGCAATATTAGGATTTCAGTTCTGAATGTTTTACAGTGCCAGAATAAAGGGAAATAAACAATTGCATCTCAAAGTGCTTGCTTTTTTGAGCGGTGGTTTCTTTTGCTTTTGGCAATGCCCCTGAACAATACGGTTGAGCATGTATAAGATTCACATTTTGTTCTTTTGAGTGAAACACGCCTGAAGTGCTTTATAAACATGATCCAATTCATCTCTTTATTACATGTTTTTTACCATTCAACAAGGCAGCAAAGAGAAGGAAATGACTCTAGTTTGACACAAAAGTGGTCTTTATAATACTTTACTGAGGAATGAAAAAAATGGGAAAGAACAGAGTGGATTTTGTCATGATCACCGCATTGCATCAACTATTATAATGGAACTGAGCTCATTTGTAAGGTCAGTATACATTTTTTACACAGGTGCCCATAAAATCTACAAAAATAAGATTCAGTTAAGAACTATCACAAAGGGTTACGTGGGCATATTTTCAAAGTTCGGAAACTACCTTTGGATTTTTCTGGTTTGGTGGTTTTTCCAGTAAATCGAAGCTCTCAGATGTTTTCACTCTGCCATTAGCCATTTCATATCTTACTGGGGACTACATGTACTTCTGTTTCGGTTCGTGCTTCGCCGTGTGTGTGAGACAGCTGCTTCTACTATTTCCAGAACTAGAATCTCGATATCCAACTCTGTTTGGATGTGTGCTTTGTAGTGTTAATGGATACTTCAGGCCAAACTTCTTTGTGTTAACTTTTTCTTGATACATTTGTGGTGTAGTCATGCCCCCAACATGTTAAGTTCGTTTAGACCAACAAAATGTTTCCTTAGTTGTATTGACGTTTTCAAAATTTAGCGCGTATTTGGTGCATAGGTTTTTTCTATAGAGCAAGACTCAAGATTTAGATCTCTCTATATCCTGGATGTATTTGGAGCACAGAATTCAAGACTGATTTGGAGTAGTTAGCAAAAACAAAAGTGCCGTTTGTGCTTTGTGACTGAAGGGACATGGGTTTGAACCCTGCCATGAGGTTGAAATTGTGTCCGTGGTAGAGGTATGTTGTATAAATTTTCCTCACTTCATCGAAGTGGGAATGGGCCCCACGGCTGTAGGCGGGAAAGATGTCTTGTAAGAATAAAGTTGAAAACTGAATAACCATGGTGCTACAGTATACAATGGACTTCCGGAGCGTTTGTGTGAGACAGCAAAGCACATTTCCCTTAAAGCCCCCCCCACCCCCCCACCCCCCACCCCAAGACACACTCACACACCACTGAATGGAAGACCATCCGACCTCTCGACCTAGCACGCACGCACGCACGCACGCACGCACGCACGCACGCATGCACGCACCCACGCACGCACGCACGCACACACACACTTAGACACACGTTTTACCCACCTTACACATTTGTTGGTGCACAAAAAGGCCTATGATTGGTCGCATAAGTTAGCAGTGTGTTACTTACAGTTCAGTTGTAGTGTCAGTGTATGACACATAAGCATGTAATGATCCTCAGCGCAAGGCAATCGACAGACCCTTGGACTAGAGTTCAGAAAAATTTTGTTGCAGAGAAAAATGTGGAAAGCCACAGCAGCAAGCAGGAGTTGTTTGTTTTTTGCAAGTGACTTCTGTAAGTCCTAGTTTTCTCATTTGAGTATTCAGTGAATACATAATATCTAATTGATTTACTCAAACAAAACAAAATAACCCAGGGAACTCCTCCTTTAGAGGTGAATCCAAATTTTCGACGAGTCCACGTTCATAGAATGTGAATTTCACTGATATAATAAGTAAATATGCTGGACACACCAGTGATACCATACCACATGCAAATGAATTGTAAGTGCAAGCTAAAACAATAATTATGCAACAAACCATATCAGTAGAAAGTACACTTTCATACCTTATTCCTGCCCATATATACCATACTGGTAGCTCCTTGCCCTAGTGGCTTTGAAGTGTCCCACACAAAAGTTGGGGACCCACGCACATTTGTAGCCATTTTCAGCGTTCGCCGTGACCAGGATCAGTGGATCGACAGTGAAGCTCTGAGGAATACACAAAGCAAAAATCTTATAATCAAGAAAGAAATACACTACATGAACAAAACTGTCCCCCAAGTCTTTCCAAATACTAAGCATGGGAATTTTTAAAAAGAAAAGCAGGGTATACTGAAGGTAACTTGCAGTTTCATTATGTACGAAAATGGTCCTCCTATCAGGACCTTATAGTCTTTCTAAAAACCACTTTAAAATTTAGACATATAAATATATAAAAATATGTAATGTATACTGTCTTCAAAACCTTCTTTCTTCATTCTGTCTCTGCCAAAAAGAGGAAAGCATAGCTACAGGGGCGGCTCGTTGTTTGTAGAACTGGCCAGCTGTCCTTCAAATCGACCCCCTCTCCCCTCCCCCTCCTCTTTGCTCCCAGCACTTCAGCCCCCCCCCACCCCCCCAACCACACACACACACAGCACACATACTCTCCGTCTTATAACCTAGACCTACATTTTCACTGTCCCTCACAACACACACACACACACAACACACACACGTACACACATACACTGTTGAGGCCTAAAACTTTTTATTGACATAATGTTAAAGTGTTGGAACATAATTTATGACAGTCAGAAGAAATTTTAGATACACTATGCCAATGACAAACTGTCCCATGCAGATTTAGTCTAGAATCAGATACAACAGTCTACTTAATGCACACGTACTGATCACAGCAGCACACAATTCCTGATCGTTATCAAACCCTAGGGTCGCTCTTCTCAGAAGACTGTATTATGTGGGGAACTATATTATAGAACTTGTGTCTGGCTCGGGTGAGGAAAAGTTTCAAGCGCCTGTTTCAATAAATTATGTTTAGAAGTCATGTAGAAATTGGTTTTAAAAAATAATTTGCAATTTTGGCTCGTTTTGAAATATTTTCTTCATTTTTTAAAAATATATTTATTTTTCCGACTTCAAATTACGTCTTCTCCGTTATTTTCAATCTGAATGGTTTCATTGTTTTACACAATGTGCGTCCATAGGTGACCTTTACTGAAATTGAGCCTTTTTTTAAAGATAAAAAGAAAATAAAGTAACAATCAGTGTTTTTGTTGGGAAATTCGATGTTTCTTTTCTATTTGTCCATAATTATTTTCATAATTGTAATATTACAAATCTGGCGTTATTTGCTTATTACATAGGTGTTGTGATTTGTGCTTGCTAAAAATGAAAGCCAACGGACGAAAAATAAGAGAGAAGATAGCTTTTAAAATTTGATGAAATTATCCAATATGGCATTTGCTTGGTTACCATGGTTACCATGTGCTTATAATAATAATAATAAAGAATTATTTGAATTCATCTTTGATGTCTGACTAATATAAATATATCATCGTTGCTATATTTAGTCAAGGGATATGGATTTTAGATATTTCACCAGCAGATGGCCTTAAGACTCGTCTAACCGGTCCATGTTAATAATAATAATAATAAATAGCATTTATACTGCGCATTTCCATTTCCTAAAAGATGCTCAATGCGCATTATAATGAAAAAGACATCACATCTTAAAAATTAATTGACAAGTGTGTACGTAAAACAAAGTATTATACATATAATATAAATGCATATGTGTTAAATTTTATACGAGAAAAACAGTCGCGCAGTGAGGTTGAAAATGTGTTCACTAAAAATATACAATGTAATAAAAATTCACGAACAGTCAAAATAAAGTTGAAACGTGAGTAACTAGAAACATTCATTAAAACATTAATTCTATACAGATAGAAAAACATTTCCGTTCTCTCTCTCTCTCTCTCTCTGTCTCTGTCTCTCTATCTCTCTCTCTTTCTCTCTCTTTCTCTCTTCCTCTCTCTCTATCTCTCTCTCTCTTTTCTCTCTCTATCTCTCTCTTTTTCTCTCTCTCATTCTCACTCGCTATTTCTTCAGTCTCACAGTCTGGCATACACATGCATATATATATATATCACAGTACATCATTATGACAGGTATGCTTTTGTGAATAAAAAATGCTTCAGCTGGTTTTTGAAAATGGAAATTGTTGAGGCAGATCTTATTTTATATGGGAGTTCGTTCCATACCTGGGGACCAAAGAACAAAAAGGAACGCTCGCCGTATGTTTTGTAATTTTGTTTTAGAGTTTTAAGAATTAGATTATCAGAGGCTGATCTAAGGGCTCTAGGTGGATGATATAATTCCAGGAATGTTTTAAAATAAAAAGGTGCACTATCATTTCTACATTTAAAACAGAGAACGGCAGTTTTGTATTTGATCCTTTCTTTTATTGGCAGCCAGTGTAGTTCTTTCAGAATTGGTGTTACGTGCGCTGATTTCTTTTGTTTCATTTTATCAATTTTGCTGCTTGATTTTGGAGTACATGTAACTTTGATAGTTTTTCGGATGTCAAACCAGACAAAATAACATTACAGTAATCTAACTTTGATAAAATGAGTGTTGTAACAAGTGTCTTGGCTGCTGCTTTACTTAAATAATTTCTTACACTGCCAATTTTCTTAAGCTGAAAGTAAATACTTTTGCTGAGCTGGCTTATTTGGGAGGACATAGACATGTCATAATCCAACTGAACCCCTAGATTTTTAAGACTTCTTTTTGAACGAATGGTATGGTTATTGATATCAATTTGTAGCTCTGGGAGATTTTTAATGGCTTTTGTATATTTCCACTCAACATTATTTCTGTCTTGTCATCATTTAGTTTCAATTTATTGCTGGTCAGGATGAGTTGCCTATTGTCCTCCTCAGTATCTCTGCCACCTGGCAAGAAGACCTCGACATTGCGCCAGTTCTGTATACTTATAGAACTACTAATCTTCCAGTCCCTGGTGACTTTCTACCTCTTCCTTATGTAGGTAAGGTATAATGCTTCCTGATAACATTTTTCTACAGAACTTGCAGGACTGTTTGAGGAAATTATCACCTCCAATGCCTACGTACCACAGGACCTACACAAGGCTCAGCAGGTCTACATACGGCACGATGCACACATGGGGCCTTTGATCAGACCTTATGAAGGACCTTTCCATGTAGCGAACAAGACTGACAAATACTTTGATGTTGTCAAAGATGGTAAAACAATTCGAGTCTCAATTGGCAGACTGAAAGCAGCATATTCGAAATCAGCCGGTCTCCAGCCAGCTTCCAATGGACAAAAATTAGATCCACATCAGATGTCGCATCACAATGAGTTGGCCATCAGTGACGATCAGATAGTTGATGATGTTCAGCAGAGCGGTACTAATATAACGCCCAGACATTCTGAAACTCTGTCAGGCAGGGTGATGGTGAAACCTGCAAGATATAGGAATTAACCAACAGTATCTGACTTTGAACTCTCAACTTACTTTACTTTTTTCTTCTGCTTGTACCGGTTGGTGTCGCGGGGAGACACAGGCGTCTTTCTGCAGCAAGGCGAGTGGCCTGTAGGAGGGACATTCCGTGAGCTCTGAGGTTGTCGGCCACAGATTCACTCCATCGTCGCCTTGGTCTTCCTCTAGCTCTCCATCCTGAATATTTAGAGTTGTATGCTCTCAGAGCTGGATGGTTTGAGGGAATCTGCGTGAGGTGTCCGAAGCACTTGCCTTTTTGTTTTTCAAAGTGTGGTAGGACTGGTGTTGCTCCTACGGTGTCCCTTATGAATTCATTTTTTATTTTGCCTCTTCTTGTTTTGTTGACTGCTCTTCTTAAGCATTTCATCTCGCATTTGACCAGTTTCCTCTCTAGGGCTTTTGTTAGGGACCATGTCTGGCACTGATATGTGAGTGTTGGAAGGAAAATGCCGCTGATGATCTTCGCCTTGGAGCTCACAGGGATATTGGGATGTTTCAGGAGAGGGCCGAGTTGATAGCTGACTGCGTTGGCTTTCTGGCATCTAGTCTCTATTTCTCGATCTAATTTTCCATTTTCAGTGAAAATGCTGCCCAAGTAATTGAATTCGCTGCTTTGTTTTAGTAAGGATCCATTGAATTTGATATATACTTTGTCTGGTCTCCTGCTTATTGTCATGACTTCGGTCTTGTTAATACCGATCTTCATGTCATATTTCTTGCAGCTCGCATTTAGTTGGTTCATATGCTCCTGTAGCTGTGTCTTGTTGTTCATAATTGCCAGGTCGTCTGCAAACATTAGTGCGTTGAGTGCCTCTGGGTCTCGATTGGCCTCCTTTGTAATCTGGCCCATGTAGATCACAAAGAGCAGAGGGGAGAGATTGCAGCCCGGTCGGACTCCCGATGTTACTGGAAACCAGTCCGATGTTCCACTGGTAGTGCGGACTGCGCTTCTGCTGTTGGCATAGATAGCTCTGATGTTGTCTAGCAGTTGTCCCTTGATGTCGTACTGCTCCAGGATCTTCAACAGCTTATTTCTATTTACTCGATCAAAGGCTTTTTCTTGATCCACAAATACGAGATGGAGATCTTGGTCATATTCCAAAGCCCTCTCACACAGTTGTCGGAGTGCGAAGATTGCATCAGTGCACCCTCTTCCTTTTCTAAAACCAAACTGGGCGTCACTGAGAAGATATTTGGCTTTTGCGCGAGAGCGTCACTCTAGGATTTTTGCTTACATTTTCCCCGCATGGCTGAGAAGAGACATGCCTCTGTAGGTGTTGCAGTCTTTCTTGCTGCCCTTTTTCTTCCATATTGTCACCACTATCACATTTTGCCAGTCTGCTGGTACTTTTCTCTCTTTCCAGGCTCTGTGGAAAATGATTGTAAGCCAATGTATTCCGGTTTCACCGCATGCAAGGATGGCTTCGGTTGTGATGCCATCGTCTCCAGCTGCCTTGTTCTTTGGACTAGTCTTCAGTGCTTCTCTCCCTTCACTCTCTAGGATGGTAGGTTCTGAGTTCGCTGGGTAGTTGGCAGTGAAGGAGCACTGTGTGTTTTGTGCCTGTACTCCTGATGGGTTTAGTAGTTCTAGAAAATATTCCTCCCATCTCTTTATTATTTCCTTCTCTTCATGTAGAGCTTCTCCATTAGTATCATTGATGACAGTGGTGGGTACATA